GGGGAGGTCACCTCCTAATAAATGTCCTTACAGAAAATCTAACTGCTCATTTTAAATCTACACTTTGACTTTTAATACTTAAATACAACAAATATCACATACTTTAAGACTTTTACTCAAGTAATATTCCTAAATGAGACTTCAACTTTTACCAAAGTAATTTTTTTGTAAGATACTTGTACTTTTACTCAAGTATCACCTATGTGGTACTTTATACAACACTGGGAAGAACAGACAAAAAACCGTGCAAAATTCTTACCAAAAAGAGAGACTCTGTGCCTCACCAAAGCAGCCAACTTACAGAAGATACTGAGGTGGGAGGAAAAGGGAAGAAAGGGAGGAACAAAGTGAGGGGGAACAGGACAGGTAAAACGTTTCAGGTACGCAGAAAGTAAAAAAAAGGATAAAAAGAAGAGATATAAAAMAGGAAAACATGGAGGGACGAGGCAAACAGAGGTATTCTCCTGAAGTAAAGCTTTTTAACAGAAAAACGTAACTTTTAATCCACAAACCTGGCAATCATCTCTTTCTCTTTATTGGACGAATGCCCTCCACTGCCCAGAACCTTGGCAGGAGTGGACAGGAAGTACAGACAGTGGTTCTTGAAGTACTGATTGACCAGAGGCAGGAGAATCTAGATGAGGCAATGAAAACACATGAAAGCTCGTCTCTCACAGGGTTCAAGGAGTCTCAGAGTGTAAGAATGTAACGTGTTCTCAGGTACTTTAACTGAGCTGAGGCAGGTGCAGTGTGGGTTTAACTAAACGTCTTCATTTTATATGTTTAAATTGAAGTAAATCTTAGCAGAGAGCTTCACGGGCAGCCGGCTAACACCGAACACAGTGAAGTTACTTATTAATCAGTAGCTCACCTTGGCAAAGAATTTAATTTCCTGTTCATGAGGAGACTTTTCCACGCGCCCACTGCTAACCACGGCCTCTGTCGACACAAAACGTAGCTGCGTGTGAGGAAAACTGCATTTTCTGTTAGAATGCAGGAACTCTGAGCGCTGAAGAAGCTGAAACTTGTAGCTAAAGCTAAAAGAAGCAAAAAAATCAGCTAAAAGTACCCAACAACAAGCTGGAAGCTAAATGTAATAAAAGGCTTGTTATGAATTTAATGTAGCAAAATTATAGCTAAAGTTAAAATAAGCAAATAAGTAGCTGGAAGCTAAAAGCAGCAAAATGATAACTAAAAGATAAAAGTACCAAAATGCTAGCTAAAAGCAGCAAAAAGATCCTTAAAAAGTAACAAAATGCTAACTAAGGCTAGCTATAAGAATCACACAGCTAATTAAAACCAAAAAGTAGCAAATAGCTAGCAAAAAAAAGAAAAAGGACAGGTAAAAGTAACAAAATTCAAGCTAGCGCTAAAAAGTATCAAAAGGCTAGCTAAAAATACCAGAAACTTAGCTACAAGTATCAAACAGTTAATTAAAACCTAAAAGTAGCAAATAGCTAGCAAATAGCAAAAGGATACATAAAAGATAAAAGTAATGAAATGAGGCTAATAGTGTTAAAAAGTTAGCTAAAAGTATTATAAGTATCACACAGCTAGCTAAAACCTAAAAGTAGCAAATAGCTAGCAAAAAATAGCAAAAGTATACTTAAAAGTTACAAAATACTAGCTAATGCTAAAACGTATCAAAAAGCTAGCTAAAAATATCAGAAACTTAGCTACAAGTATCAAACAGTTAATTAAAACCTAAAAGTAGCAAATAGCTAGCAAAAAATAGCAAAAGTATACTTAAAAGTTACAAAATACTAGCTAATGCTAAAACGTATCAAAAAGCTAGCTAAAAATATTAGAAACTTAGCTAAAAGTATCACACGGTGAATTAAAAAAATAAAAGTAGCAAATAGCTAGCAAATTATAGCAAATGGATACCTAAAAGGTAAAAGTAACGAAATGCTAGCTAAGGCTAATAGTCTTAAAAAGTTAGCTAAAAGTATTATAAGTATCACAAAGCAAGCTGAAACCTAACAGGAGCCAAAGGTTATCTAAAAGCCTAAAAACGCTAACTAAAATCCAAATGTAGCAAAACAGCTAAAAACAAAAAAGCTGCATAAGATGACAACAAAATAATAATGATGATGTTTTTAAAGGAGCTGAAGAGTTTAGTTGTATTTCTGTGGGGAACATATTAAATGCAAACAACAGATAAAAATAATTTTTTAGTTCTGCAGTAACAATAACTTCTATGATCAAAGGTTTTGCGAACCACAGTACCAAGGTGAGCGATGAACTCCTGGGCGATGTCCATCCATTTGAGAAGCTTCTGGAGGAAGCCGTAGGCGAAACGCTTCTCGATGGAGGAGATGTCCTGCTCCATGTCCTTCAGACCTCTGAGGACGAAGGTGTTTCAGGTAAACTCATGCACAGAGCTGACACAAGACAAACGGTGGGACGCTCTCACTTGCCTCGTCACAGCGTATCCGTTGAGCTGCAGGAACTTGAGCAGGTCCTGGGCCTTCTCACGGTCCCGGGCCTTCTCCTTGGCCGTCAGGGTGTCATAAGGCACAAGCAGAGGGTGGGTGCCGCCACCTTAAAGGAGACACTTTTTAGAATCAGCCAGCCAAGCCGTAAACCACCTGAAAGAGCTACCGCCTGCCTTTAGCCTGCAGCTCCAGCTTCTTCTTCCTGCCCCAGGTGTTGTGGTAGTTCTCTGCCAGCTGCTCTGCCATGGACTGCAGGAAGAGAGGAAAACACATGACCGTGCTGAATAAAGTTAGACTATGAGGCCTGTTAAAGGTGCCTGAATACCTGCAGCTCTCTGGATAAGGCCATCCCTGCGATGTCTATAGGCTGCGGGTTGTAGCCGTGACTCGGGTCGTAGGTGGCCTGAGGAAAAACAGACAGCAAAGTTAATTTAGAGATTAAAAGGTACTAAAATACGTACGGAGAAGTCGTTTCTTTGTTGCACCTGAGCGGTTTGGGAGATCTTGCGTGTGGACGCCTTCTTAGCAACCTCCTCCTCCCCCTCCCGGGCTTTCTCCAGCGTCCACTCCCACGCCAGCATGGCTTTGATGGACTCTTTGATGGGCCAGCGGTAGATTTCTTTATCCTGAGACCCACAGAGAGAAGTTAGGCTCCAGTGGTGGTGTTCAGCTTCAGATTAGGGATGCAAACCATTAATCGACTTACGATTAATTGTCCAATAATGGTTTATTAGATTAAAATTTCTTCCACTCGATTAATTGGTAACACCCTGTCCTGGAAAAATAACTTATCCTCTAAAGTCCCACTTTCTTCTCAGGTTAAGAGTCAGTGAGCTCTTTACCTTGAAATGTCATCGTTTTATGATTCCACTCTTTATCCTCTGTTTTCTCTCAGAGACACTGTTTCACAACCAGGACAATATCTGTTAGAAGTAATCGTTCTTGCTGCTGTTTGTCAGATATCATGCTCTCCTTGACCCAAGCATCGGCACCCAAGATTAATTCATTAATGGATAATTGCATCCCTACTTCAGATATAATAATGAAGAAATTTATAGTTATTATAGATTAGTACTGATGTTAGAAACAACACTAGAGTATTAGGGTTTCCTT